ATTGTACTTATTCTGCTTTTGTTCCCTAGCCTCCCTAGGGAAGTAGTTGTCCAAGAACAACGTCTCGAACAACCGCCAGGTGATTTCCTGGCCTTCAGCTTCTTGTCCACCAATCTTCAGCTTCACCTTCCAGCATATACATAGAGTAGACCAACTTCAATGCATCAGGGCATCTCATCACCCTGAAGATTTTCTCCATAGATTGGAGCCATTTTGCTGCCACCAACGGGTCATAGCCTCCACTGAAAGAAGGAGGTTTATGTTTTCTAAAAGCCATCAATTGTCTTTCTTCAGCTTCATGTTCATCAACATGCTCAACACGTGGTTGACGGACCTCAATGTGATGGCTATGACTACCAGAATGGTGACTGGCCTCACCATCATTATTATCCGCTTCATCCTCTTCCTGTAGAATAGGTGGAGTGGGCGTGGCAGTGTGAGGAGGAGGAGTGGTAGCCGGTTCGCAGGTCTAGCACCCCTCAATGGCCTCAACTCGTTCATCATCGCTGCCATAGCATTCCGCGAGTCTTCATTTGTCTTCATCAAATTTTCATTGGCTTGCCGACTAGCAGCCAACTCTCTTTGCACGGCTGCAAGAGTTTCAGCCACAGGATCCGACTGCCCGCCAGTTTCCCGACAACCACTTCGGGGCCTAACAAAAGCAGCCAAAACAGGTTCTGGATGAGCATCAGCATTCGATGGTCCAGGGTTAATCCGGTTTCTCGTCATGACACTACACATGTTACACAAAGAGATGAGTTGATCAGGCTCACACTCAGTGATCACAAATGCAATAATCATAAAAGAGTACCAAAACAACTATAAAACATCAAACACCATACATATATAACAATAGTCCACAAGTTTCCCTACAAAACTGCTCTGATACCATAAAATGTAACACCCCGTTCTAGAACCGGTTTGTTATCATTACGTACGACATTAAGCGCAGTAACAATCACAAGATTGAATTAAAATATGGATAAACTTTTTCCTTTCTATTTATAAACACTTTTGTTTAGAATCATTCCGTAATTAAATCAATCCCTGTAATGTGATTATAACTTAAATTATAAGTAGAATCCCGATCTTAAGTCTTATTTAGTCCTCCACGCTTAAATCTTAACTTTATTGTTCTTAAACACTATAGTATCCACTCTTTATTTATTTAAGAAATTTCCATACTACCTCTATGGTCTCCAATTTCCAATATGTTGTAGGATTTTTCATTAGCTACGCGTGGGTTCAAACCGCGCTCAAATCGGAGCAATGTAGCTCAAGTTACGCATTTTCTAAGAAAATAGGTGCTGAAATTCCCAGGACCCCCACACTCATAGCGTGAGCAGTCAGAGAGGTTGACGCTCGTTGCGTGAATCTCACGCTCATAGCGCCGCAGTTCTGGAGCAAGCACCCAAAACAGGGCAATCTGACCTACCTACGGTATTCTACCATAACTTGAGTTATACTCATCCAAATTACACAATCTTAGTCTCTATGGAAAGCTAAGAAAAATATCTACAACTTCCATTAAGACACAAGGGTCCAAATCTATCATATATGATACTAAAAATGGGCAACAAGACAGGATATTTTTATTTTTACTTGGATTTTCAACCCAAAGGTCTCCTTTCACCTAATTGACATCATATAATCCTTTCAATACATGAATTCTAGTCTTTCAAGGTACTCATACACTAAGAGAGGCATGCATACCATTTCATCATACATATATCTTCATTAATTACAACAGTACAACATCATCAGGTCTCAATTACATCATTGTTCTTACAAATTTCATATACAATGCAAAGGACTTAGCTACAAAAGGAACATGATCAAAGCAAGTAACCATGTACCAGATACCAATTACTACTACAATGATCATGCACTAAGTCCTCCAAAATACATCATGTGGCATCCAAATATACATATAACAATTCTAAATGGCATGCAACTCAAAATGTCAAGCTATCAGGTACAATCTACTCATGCTTCTTGCCTCGATCAACCTCATCTTTATCAGTACTTGAAATGATGCCCCACAACACGGGGTGAGATATACGAATATATCACAGTAAACCAGGGGTCCTTGGAGATCACTCCACCCTAAGGTTCACTTTCGATGTAAACATATTCATAACAGCTTAACACATTCTTATCCATAAACATCACATGAACTTCCAAGAGAGATCCACATAGGGCTATTTCTCTTAGGCTCTAACCATATGGAGATCCACATAGGGTTATTTCTAAGGGAAGTTCCTACCAATCATCCTCATTATAATTCTATCAATCATTACCTCAATCAACATTTATATCTATCAACTATCATTAAGCAATCATAGTATTTTTCAATGCATGAATCAATGCATGAGCATGCAACAACTATCATCATTACATATCACACCCCATAAACCATTTCTCCTCAATGGAATATGGTGGAACATTCAAGGGGATCAACCCCAAGGTCCAAATGTTTACCTTGCTCTTGAACTTTCCTTAAAGCTTTCCTTTCCTCAATTGAACACAACCAAAAGGATTGGTCACTCCACTTGATTCTCTTGCCTCAATCCTATCAATACAAGGATCACAATCAAGTCTACAATCAAGTATATTATCTTGCAATTTTCAAAACATAATCATATGACTATCTAAACTTATTTTCACCGATTAAATGTCATTCCTAGCATTTTTCACAATATACACTAAGCCTCAATCCGCCTAGAACATAGCCAATCTACTCACATTATCATAAAACCCTAAAAACACTATTCATCATCTTCCCCAATCACACATTCTCCATGAAAACAAGGTTCAAGGAGTGGAAACTCACCACAAAGGGTTGCTCAACCAAGGAATATTGATTTCCTAAGCTCCCATGGAGAGAATCACCTTCAAACTCCTCAAATCCTCACAAGGGCGAAATATTTGGAGGGAGATATCTCACTCCACAATGCTTCCCACTCAAAACTAAGTTAGGGTTAAGGATGGGAGGAAGAATCTAAGTGGTTTAGGCTTTTGAATCACTCAAATAGGTTAAGGATTGGAGGATCTAGGGTTTGGGGCTCCCTCCCTTTCTCTCTTGCTTCTCACTCTCTCCTTTTCTCTTTTCTTCTTGTCGACGGGTGTGGGGGGGGAATGAATGGGTTTCATTGCTTCTAGTCACTTAACTTATGTTAAGTGGCTTTAAGCGAGTATTAGCTCATCTATCTATTCAACTCAATTTACCACCAAACTTTACCCAAAGGTCTGGAATATTTTTCTAGGAATATTTCCACTTCCATTTTTATATTTTGGGTACTTTTGCCTACACTCATTTATACCCCTTAATTTTCACTAAGTACATTTTTTACCTCAAAAGTGACCCCAATTCACTTAATTAGGCCCTATACTTAATTTTACTCATTAATACATGCTTAATTACTTAATTTAAAGTAATTAATTAAATTATTTAAGTTAGGGGTATTATAGCTTTGCCCTTTCCTCCTTTGAATTGCATTAAGATAAATGTTGATGGGGCTAGTTCTACTGATGGATTACATTCAGGCTGGGGTGGTGTCCTTTGGGATAGCTCCAGTAACTGGGTTATTGGTTTCTGTAAGAATTTGGGAAGTGGAACAGCTTTGATCGCAGAATTATGGGCCTTATTTGTTGTCTAGAGGTAGCTTGGAGCAAAGGTTTTAGAAATGTGTGGATAGAAGGAGACTTTTAGATGGCTCAACAGCTGGTCCTTAGGGGATGTAGTCATTCACACCCATCTTCTGCTTTGATTAGTCGCATCAAGGAATTTCTGCCTTAGGATTAGAATGTTACTATTTCTCATATCCATCCTGAAGGGAATGCAGTGGCCGATTGGCTAGCCGCTTATGCTAGTAACTTCTCTTGGAATGTTCAGCTATTGGATCTTCCTCCACAGGAGTGCATGCATCGGTTACAAAGTGACTTTGTGGGAACTCACTGGCCTAGGCTTTGTGCTTAGTTTATTTTGTTTCTTTATGTCTTTGTTTCTTCTTTTCATTTTGTGTCCAAAAAAAAAAAGATTGGCTGATATCTAGTGAAGAAGACATGGTTAGAACAAAGAGCTACTTGAAATTGAACTATCTAACCCCCCTAAAAAAAAAGAGAGTAAACACCCTTTTTAGTCCCTGTCAATATCTACGAAGTCCATTTTAGTCCCTGACAATAAAAAAGGACCAAATTGGTCCCTGAAATTACAAAAAAGGGCCATGTTAGTCCTTATGTCAACTCCCAAATATGTAGAGTGACCCTTTTCTTGTACTTTCAGGGACCAATTTGGTCATTTTTTATTGCCAGGGACTGAAAAGGACTTCGTAGATATTGCGAGGGACTAAAAAGGGTGTTTACTCAAAAAAAGAAAAAGAAAAGAAAGAAAGAGCTATATTGATTTTGCTTCCTTGAATTGAATCCCTTGGTCGAGTAGAAACAGAATAGTATTATTAGTACTTTTAATGGCAAGCCATGCGAGGCTGTTTGGCCCATTCATTATAAATCCACAATTGTGGGATGCTATTGGCAATAATTGATACGGTATTGGAGGTAAATTGTTCAATTTGAAGCATGGGACTTTCCAGACAAGAGAAAAAAACAGTAGAGCCCCATTGACAAGTGCTGGTCCAGTTAAGTGTTAAAAGGTTTTGTTTACAGTTATGATGCTCATAGAATAATATAGATGTGGAGATTGCGTAATTTAACGTTTTAGCTTTGTGTACCAAAAGAAAAATGGTGAGCTTTGTCAAAAGCGATTTCTAAATATGGTCAACCTATACTCGGCAGTTATCTGTTAGCACAAACCAGAGGTCTTTAGACTCTTTTTTTTCCGCTTACATGTAACCTATTACTTCATTTCATTAGCTTGGCTAAAACTTCAAGCTGTGAAGCCAAACAAGTCAGGTGCTTAATCAATAGGAATATGTGACTTGTAACAATAGATAAAAGAAGCGTTCTGTATAATTTATATGTTCTGTTTACATATACATTGCATTTGAAAAGGCAGAAATAGCCCACTGTACTAGAACCCTTTCTAATTAACCAAGAAAATTTCTTAAAGAAAAATCAATCTTAACCAGAATCCCAATTGCCTTATTGACAAATAATTAAAGAATTATCTTACTCTTTTTCTACTCTTTTTCTGGGTTTCACTTGGGAATTATTGATGGAGAAGAGTTTCTTCATGACCTTCACAATCATCACCATGCCAGGCTTATTCTTAGTTGGAAGTATTGCATCTTTTTTGGTCTTGGAAACTGTGAGCGCTTGAGAACATCTGAATTCAACCACTTCCCTTGAAGAAGAGGTAGTAGATCCTGTTGTTAAAGACAACTCCTCGTTGAAATCCTCCCACATCATGTCCATTCTGTCATCTTCATCATCATCTAAACCAATTATTTTCCTCCCATTTTCAACACATGAAAAGCTCTTCCTCTCGGCCCGAGCTATCAGTTTTGCTCCAAAGCAATCATTTTCTTCTCCTTTGTCTCCTTGGTAGGGATTAGGAGAGGCTGCTGGGGATAGATTCCACAGAGGAGGTGAATCAATGTTATGTGCACAAGTATCACTAATCCTAGGGAAACTGAAGTCCTCTGTATCCATGGCTTGGCTAATCAGCACTTTGTACAATATTAGAGATATGGGAAAAATGCGTGCTTTTGGGTTAGGTTTGGGAGGGTGGGCCTGGAAGTTGTTTTTGGGAGGGTTTTAGTTCAACTGCTGAAAAATCCTACACTTTCTTTTCACTAAAAATTAAGAATGATGTCTCTCCTCAACTTACATTTTCAAGGAAGATCTTGGCCACTCATAGGTAGGGCGGGCCATACATGCCTAAACATAAGAAAAGGCAAAAGCCAATACAACCACTCATTCAACTGTTTAATTTGTTATGAAAACAATAATTGACACAATATCTATTGTTATCAAAAAATAAAAATAAAAAAATATCTATAACAGAAAGTGAAGTGAAAGTGAAAAAATGACAAACCAGAAAAATTATTTTTCCATAATTATGTAAGAAGATACCATGTCTGTCCTTCCTTAATGATTATTGATCAAATTAATATTACTATAGGTCTTAAGATGTGATGTAATTCTAGAATGTACAGAACTAGCGTATACCTTTAAGGGAAGCTTAAGGGATGCTTATTATCGCCGGATTGATAGGAGGAAGTCATTTCTATGCTAGTTATTTTCCAAATAGTGGTGTTGACTATTCGAACCTTGAAAGGGATATTTCCCCTCTAAGAGTTCGTTCAATCTCTATAGGTTGTGTGTTGGGGCACCAGAGGGCCAGTTATCCTCAGTGTCACGATTCAATTTGATGGTGATCTTTAGGAATCGATTACGCCGAATGCGTAGATACTGGTGCACACAACAAAAACCGTTAAAATGAAGGGCAGGTTAGTTTAAGAGTATAGACAAAGTAAACGGTGTCGGTCTAGAGTGCCAACAAGACGAGTTTTTGGCTTCTTTTCTACGCTCAATAATTGTGGCCACTAGATTATGTTATCGAACATGGCTCTTGATTTAGCCTCCCCTACAACTGTTAATGAGGCATGAAAAAACACACTTTGCACATGACCAACCACAATATAGATAGTTCTCACCAACCAAAGCTGAGCATTTTTTCTGCATGCTTGGCCTAACATGTTAAAATTAACCACAATTCTGTACTGGCAGTACTGCAGAGTTTTTTTAAGGGGAAGGGAACAAAAATGAGAGAATGGAATTATATTTTGGCATCTAGAGAGATTTCATATATTCTACCTATCAAATAATTTTTTCTGTATTTGAAATATTTAAAAAAAATTAATTGTTAACAACATATTCTTTGACACACTCTTTCTAATTCACTCCTCAATATTGAGTGACTTTCATGTAGGTTTTAAAAAATCGAGTGAACCGAGTTGATTTAGGGAGACCTGTTTAGAACTTATCCAATAATATAAAAATATTAAAAATAATATGTAACTAGCATTTATCTTAAAAAAAAAGTAGTTGGTATATATTATTAAGTTGAAAGGGTATAAAAGCAAACATAGAGAGACTCGAGTGTATCACAATAGAACCAAAGTCCAAAAGTCACTTTTTACTACAGTATGCCTTTAACAACTATTGTACGTCAACAATTATTCAATTCTAATAATCCGTGCTCGATATCTTATTATTAATTATGATATTAACTGTAATTATAATTACATTAATTTTTTAAAAATATCAGAAAACTTTTTCATTTTAATACTGTAACATCCCGGATGCTGACGAAGGCGGGGAGTGATCGCCGGTGTGCAAGGGCACAGACAACGAGCGACTCCTGGCAGGCTTCCAGCGGTGGGGGTACATGAATGAATCGAATAACACCGGAAAGAGAGGGATTCCAGAGATTGTGCTGACATAGGACAACACAACTAATGATAGCTTATAAGAATTAATTGGTACTACCTATACTAACAAGATGCATCTACTTTTCGGTAGACCGTATCGGAAGAACTCAACAGTTAAGTGTGCTTGACTTGGAGCAATTCTGGGATGGGTGACCTCCTGAGAAGTTTTCCCGGGAAGTGTGCGAGTGAGGACAAAGCACGCTGAAAAGTCTCGTGTTAGTGTGTGGGGACAGTCGTTGATGCTTGCAAGTGGCCGGGCATTACGAGTGGTATCAGAGCAGTTTTGTTAGGGAACTCTGATAAGGTATAGTTGTGTTATGTGCTGCATAGTTATATGTAGATTCTTATCGATTACTGCATATGTGAATCCTTAGTGTGGGTCTGATCAACCCATTCCTTTGTGTTACATGTGTGATCATCGTAAGAAGCCTGCGTGGCAACCCTGGAGCACCGAATGTAAGTCTTTAGCCTGATGTTGTGGCTGCAGTGTTGACTACTCCATGGACAAGAGATGGCGTTAAGTAAAATGTGAATATTATAGAACTGAAGGGAAACAAACTTAAATGTTTTGTCTGACCTTGTAGATGAAATTGTAAAGTTGTATTATAAGCAAAAATTGCAAACAAACCTCTGGTATGTACGGTATTAGCATAGGCGAATTTTGTAGTACTGTGGATAATAAATTAAAAATTGAGATGGGTTTATAGTATGAAGATGGGATTGGTAAAAATTCTACGTATATGTGTAGTGTAGTAAAACAATGATGTACAGGTGGACCTGGTGAGTTAACTTCATTAAGGTGAGTGACTTAGAACCTGATGAATTATTGGAGAGTATGAACAGGTATGCTTAGCTACGAGTTAGAATATGTTATGTTTGATTAGAAGTTATAAGTCCCTGATAGGTGGTGTACACTTGAATGAATTGGGATGGTTAATGTAGAGAAACAAATGGAATATTTGATGTCTAATCCTAAGAGATTGAGAACTTGAAATTATTATGTTAGTGAAGTGTTAATTTGAGAGATTTTGAAAGAGGGAATTGAAATCCATAAGGATATAGTAATGATTAATTATAGGGAGATGAACTGACTATATATTATGTATATAGGAGAGAAGTTGAGAGAATCGCATTGGATGGCATAAGGTAAATGTACAAGGAAGGCACTATTGTAGTTAATGAACGTCGATTCAAATTGAAAGACTTGGCAACGATAAAATGGATAGGATGGTTGAATTGGGTAATCATATGTAAGATGGTAATGAGAATTGTAAAGAAATTATGATCTAGTGATCTGTATATATATATACTACTAATAGTAATGTGCTTGTGAAATCATTTGGTATTTGATATGGATTGACGGACAGAGTGGAGGTATTTTCAATGTAAGAAGTATTCTACAACTACCAAGGGTGGAAGTGAGCCGGAAAATTGATGAGTTGCTCTACAATATTGAATATAGGTTTATGTTAGCCATAGCAGACAATAGATTAGAACGGTGACAGGATTTTATGAGCTATTGCTGTACAATCACCAAGTGAGAGAGTATGATTAGTGAATGAGCTAATGTACAACTTAATGTGAAATCATGCGATTAGGGAATGAACTAAGGTGCATAGAGTGTGAAATTATGTTGTTAGCGGAAGAGCGAATGCGTAATGTCAAAATGAAAGTGATGAGATTAGCTAATGAGCGGACGTGTAATTGTCAGTGCAAGGACTGATGTACAATTATTAGTACAAGGACGGAAGTGTAACTAGTTCTCTAAGATAGGACGGGGGTGTTTAGAAAATCCCTGTGAGATGAGAAATATGATACAGTATATTAAGAGATGTGGGATGTGTACAGAACTTCGAGAAAGATTCTGAATTCGAGAAATAGAGATTTTGACATGTACCATGTCAGATGACGGGTCAAAATAAAAGAGTAAACAACCTGTAAAAAGAATAATCAAGGAAGAAATAATATACTATGGATTTGAACGGTAACATGACAGAAGAAACTATTAAGAGTTAGGAAATGTGTACGAAATTATGAAGAGAATATGAATTATTATAATAGTGACTATGTTATAAACCAGGTTTGAAGGTTAACCAAAATGAAAGTAAACTATTAGTGGGAAGAATTAAACGAGAGAGTATAATGAATTGACTTATATGTAATAAGGTATATTATACCACTACTAATATTATTATTAAGGGTAGCCTCATATAACACCTCGTATTTCTAAATATATATTTATAGATGATAATGTCGCTTAAAAGGTTAGGACTAGTGAAAATCCTGAGATTAGGGTCAAAATATATAAGAAGGGCAAAATGGTAATTTACCAAACACGTATCCCTAGGCATGAAAAATCGAGTAGAAGGTCTCAAATGGTAAAAATAAGGCCAGAAATGGATTCAGAACGAAAAATCGAGTGGATAGGCAAGTTTCTGAAATTTTGATGAATAGTGATTTTTTCGGTATAAAATAATGCGGTATAATTGTACCGATATGCGTGAAATTTTGATCAGTATTTTTAGGAAACAAAAATATGACACAAACGGTAAAAATACGTAGTTTATGAAATTGTGGTGTAAATTAGATGTTTCATTAAAGTTAAATCGCGTGTGGGACCCGCGGAACCAAAATCCACTTAAGTTTCCCTTATTTTCCCTCAACCTCACGAGCTCTCTCTCTCCTTTCGCTTTCTTTTCCAGCGTGAAACAACCCCTCCCACCATTGATGAGCCTTCATCCTTTTGCTCTCCAAAACCACCATTTCTTGGCCAAATCCTTTGATTTTGGTGTTGAAATCAATTGGAAAACCCATTCTAAAGCCATTGGTGATACCCCCTAGCCTTGAAATCGCTCCCTTGGTGAGTATTTAGCCTAGGTCAGTTTTGAAAGATTGGAAAAAAGTGATGTTCATGGAGGCATTGGACCTCTAGATGCTTGGAGAAGCCTTGGTGAAGAGTCTAGCATTGATTGTGAGTGTATTTACATGGTTTTTATGATTGATTTCATAGATCAAATTTATGAACCCTATGCTTGTAATTGTTGATTTATGATGATTGGAAGCTCAAATGGAAAAATTGCATTAGACGATAATGTCTTAGAATGACATGATTGAGTTAGAAATACTATGAAAATTCTAAGTGAAAATGATGATTTAACTTAGGAAAAAATCAAGTGTCATGAGATTTAGAAATTTAGTTGTGTGAAAATGGCATGATTGTTTATTGTATAGGTTAAAAATAGGATTTTATGACATGTGTAATTGTTGAATTGTATTGAAAACCTTGAGGGGTGTTTCATTGATGAATTCGAACCATAG